AGCTGTATTCTCTTATGTAAAGGATGTATTAGTTTGTTTGATCATTGCAAAGCGCTGGAAGGCACTCACGCCTAAGGGAATAGGTGCCTTCGTGGAGTTTCGTCGGATCGTCGTATACACGTTACATATGGGAAAAGCCGCGAAAACACCCACGCAGCCAGTTCTTCGTCCGGATTCGAATCCCGGACTGAAGTACCAGTGTTCAGAGACTTTAACACTCGGCCCCTAATGTCTTAGGTGTAAAGGAACTACTATGAATAGTATAGAAAAAATGTAAATAATCATTAATGAATACAGCGGGGAATTCCGGTTTACTCTACGTACATTGTTATGCGATATCCTTTACAAGAAAGCAGCATAATATTACTGAAAAATAAGTAATTTAACATTTCAATATGCTCAATATGTATGTGGGTTAATTTTTTTAATAAACAGATTGAAGATACTTTAAGTAATTACTTAATTTAGAATATTCAAGACTTATACACAATAATAAAATAAGCGTAAGAAACTTCTGCTATCACAGTTAAAGCTTTCTTTTCCCAAACCAAATGATGATTGACACGAGGAAACGAGTTACGAAGTAATTACCGATAGAGGGTAAAACTTGTTTCCGAATATTAATTATTGAGTAAGGTTCTGATAAGCAAGATAAGAGACACAAATTATGGGTTCAATTATCTTCGAAATGTACAGATTTTCTTAAAGAATTGTTTTCGCACATGTCTTCCGGCAAAAGTGAAACTTTGCGGCTTCCTTCCTTTATTAGCCCCACATGAGTTGATGGAACAAAAGCGTTTATGGTCGTGGTTAAAAATTCCTAAGGGTTGTTCCAAATGTTACATAAAAGAGTTTGTTAATTGACATGTTTAACGGCATAATTTATTTAAACTGAGACATTCTACTTACTGGAAGAATGAGTAATGATTTAAAAATTAAATTTGCTTTTCCTGTTGCTAATTTTCAAACTATAAATTCAGAAGTAAACTTACAAATTATTCCGATTAATTTTATGAAGGAATTTTCGAAAAGTGCATTTTATGCGTACTTAAAGAATGTCATCATATTTATTCTTTTTTTAACAACATATTAAATGATTTCTTCACTTTATGAATTTCTCTCATTTAACCTAACTTCAACTTTTAATATTATTTCTCGTATACGCATATTATCCGCTTTACGACCTATTTTCTATTTTACCTGCTGATCCTGGACTGCAGAAATGCTAGTTGTATACATCGTTAATATTCAAAATAATAACTTAAAAGTCATTTAAAATATTTTAAGAATATTAACAGATGATTACAGGCACCAACTTTCATTGTCAAATAAACAACGCGAGGCGAAAACGTCATTGTGATGTGAAACATCGCAATTCTAAAGCATCGTGGTCCGAAACATCGTCATCGAAAATAAAGCTGTTCAAAAGTTTTGAAGTTTAAAATCTTCGTCATTAAAAACATCGTGATGAACAATAAAGCACCTAAAAATCATCGTATGACGATAATATCACAGGCATGATTTTTGAAGCTTTAAAAGTTGTAAATACATATTCTCATGAAGATTCGCAAGGAGGAATGAGGAATATTTTTATATTTCATACGTCTAAATTAACTAATAAGGTTTTGTTCAAAAAGTAAGAAGAAATCATAATCTGGAAAATGAGTAGAAAATTAAAGCTACTTATAGCACTTAATAGAATTTAAATCCCCTTCTGAAATATTATGTAGCTTACATGTTTCATAACTATCAAATCGACATTGAAACGATAAATTGTTCTCTGTACATGACAATGTTAATGAAAGTTTAAGAAAATGAATAAACTGAAGCAAAATATGAATTAAAGAAAATAATTTTACAATTTGATAACATATTAAGTAATCTTAATTCAGGTAACTTAATGCAGTTACTCATCTTCCATCTTGTAACCTCTCTTAGATTATATTTTTATGAAAAATTACCAATAAAACTTTATAAAAGGTATTAATTAATTATTGAGATTTGTTAGTTAATTATGTAAGCTTAAAACGCTATTAATTGTTACAAGTAGATATAATTTTCGACTCAGTTTCAGTTTTTAATGTTAAATTTTCAGTTTCTCATTTTCAGTAAATTTCTCACGTTTGGCCTTTTTCCGCGACGCTTTGGTCCGCGATATTTTTACTGCCATGTTTTTGCCTGCAACCGTCAATTCAGATAGTCAAGTCAGTTACCAGGTGCTGTGAAAGAAGTCTCAGAAAGCAGGTTTTGTGACACGGATATTTAGTTAATTAATGAGCATTTTAATCTTAAATGAACAAAATGATGATATAAACAGTTTCACAAGCTAAATCGCTTACAAGATGTATGGAATATAATGTTAAATAATGTTAATAGACTTCATAATAACATTAAAGTATGCCTATGTTAAATGTACAAATGATTATAATTGTCACAGCTTCATTTCATGAAAATAGCATGAGAACATTACTAGTACGTCAAGAACGAAATGATTCCTTATTTAAGAAGTTATGATGACTTTTATTAAATTTTAATCAATAAAAATACATAGATTTAACTTACAGGTTAATATTATTAATGTGTGCATTTATGTTGCAACATGTGGCAATTGTTGCTAAAATTTTATCTTAGAGATTTAAAACTCTGCTACATGTATTTGTATTCCATTATAAGATATTTTCTTCCTACTTCCAGCCTGTATTCGTGGTAGAAGAGTAGCACACTCGAAGCACATTCGGGAGATCGAGGGTTAGAGTCCCGGCGAGAGCACTGCACATTTTTCATCTTCCTACTTCAATAAAATAATAATAAAAATCAAAATAACTAATGAACGTAAGTTGCTCCCGAACTAAAATGTGGTGGACAATAATTCGTCACCACCAGGATTTGGCGATTATTTCTACTAATACCTGGTCACCCTTTAACAGGGGGAGTCTCTACTTCCAGAATGCCTTCGTGGTGTAATGGTAGCACACGTGACGAAGATGGGATTCATAAAAATGATTCACTATAATCTGTGTTATGTGATGTTTCTTGGACAACAAAATAGGATATTTTCTGTCCTGCGCGATGTTGGATTGTTTTAATCTTCCTCCGACGCGTATAAGTCCATTCTTATCGATAAAGGGGTTCAACGAAAGGATCTTACTAATTGAGTTTAACGGTTGGTTCTTATTCAGAAGATTATATTCATTAAAAAACTAATCCCTTTGAACTACTCTAACAATTGCATTTCTAGCGTATTGCAGTTCTTCGGTTTTAAGATAACCCTTAATCCTTGTTGCGGTAGATTTAGCTGAATTATTCGTAAACCGAAAACACCATGCGATGATTCTTTTAAGTTTCAAGAATGATGAAACTTAAGAACTGGAATTTGCGAAGCGACTATTCCAATTGAACTAGAAACATTTTTCCGTTGTTCTTTCAAAGATTCTTTTGAAAATGGTAAGTTGATAGAGAACGGAATATTATTTGAATTAAGCCACCGAGGACCTGTCCACCACAAGTCATGAGTAGAAAGTTCTGAAGGCAAATAAGTAGAAAGTTCTTGTAGTGAGTCGCGTCGAAAGTTCTTGTAGTGAGTCTTAATGCGCAATCAGCTAGATTTTCCTTCCCTTTTATGTGATTCCAATGCGATGCTGGTAAGACTGATTGAATTTCTGTAAATAACGTCATGGATTTCATTGTAACTTATTGGTTTCTATCTCCATTGAGCGAATACTGGAGTATATTAATAATTTTTCATTGAGGATAGACTTATTTCAGCACTTTTATGTAATATCGTCAAAGATATAGAAAATGTAAAACTTTGATACATTAAATTTTCATCATTAAGTATTTGCAAATTTTTATATATCTCTGTTTACACTCCCCGAAACACAGTCTGTATTGTCAAACTACATGGTTAAAACTTTAAAAATGAAAACATGCACTATAAAATTTTATACAGGGATATTTTTCTTGAACATTTTGCTTTTAGTATTAAATAACAAGCTTGATACTAGATTTATATAAAAACATTAACTTTAGGATGTAATCTAATTTAATGTGTTAAGATAATACTACCTTCTGAGCTAAAGCACAAACGTTTTTCACAAGTTTTCATTACTAAAATAATGAATCAAGTAACTCGAGCCAGCCTTAAAACATTACTTGAAAATCTTATTAGTGAAATAAACAATTATTTTAAATCTGAACGCTTAGCTGGTTTAACTATCTTCTTGCATGGTTACTTAAATCTTAAAATCTTCCCAACTATGTCTCATTAGAGAACTGCCGTTAATATCGCTTACCTAGCCTACTAAAATTCAAAAGAAAGAATCTATAAGTATATTTTACTTCATGTTATCATGCAATCTCTCTCCTTGCTAACCTTCTGAGCGTCATGACCGGCTGCATGCAAAATACACACCGATTGCAAAAAGTTTAAAAATACTTTATTCGAATTCACTAGATTCGGACTAAAATATCTCACTAAATTTACAATAACGTACGCACTGTTTCAGTGTGCAGAAAAATCCATTCCTGCAATATTTGAATGAAAACTGCTAAGAATCTTATAAGATTTAGTATGCTTTGTTATTTTTGCGGCACGCTTAAAACTATTCTGGCCGCCCTTTGTTACACATTAATTGAGATTTTCTAACTCAAAACACATATTGATGTAATGAGCTTAAAACATACTTGGAAATTTATTTTAAATAAAGACCCAAGTACGCTTCTTAAAATTATTGCGCTTAAAGAAAAAGTAGAAAAATGTACGCCACCATTTAATAGTACATTGGGAATTCTAAATATGTGATGTTTTTTAAATATCTCTAATTCTGCTGTTGAACTGTACATGGTGTAAGTTCGAAAAAACGATGCTTAATAAAGATAAAATAAATTAGCAGAATAGAGCTTTGCAGCAGACGGGTTGCCTGCGTAAAAAATCTTAAGAAAGCCCTTTGGGCGACTTTTCATATTTTTTTTTAAATTTATTGTTTTTAAATTTATTTTAGATGGATGAAAGATATAAATGGAGTTCTAAGACTTGTGAAAGAGGACGGGAGAATATGGATTAGCCAAGGTATTTTGAATATAAAGAAAGTTATACATTCGGATGGAGGCAAATACCAGTGCATTATTCGGAACAGTATTGGAGAAAAAAGAATTGAGAGTGCTCTAATAGTTACAGGTAAGAGATGAATTAATTGCCTTTGTGATTTTTACACATGTGTATGTCTTCAAAAAAGGTTCACGTTTTTCGTGTCATTATAATATTTTCTTAAAATTATTCTCTGGTTTGGACAGAATTCGTTCAGAGGCTTTGTAGATAACTCAAAATTTAAGCAGTGCTAATTCAGAAGTCAAACAACAAAAATCAGCGTTATACCTACAAAATTTTCACAGGACTAGTTTCGATGGTTTTACCGAACCATCATCTTCAGCTGCAAAACCGCAAAATGCGGTTTTCATCACCGCAAAATGCGCAAAATGCGGTTCACCGTCATTTTGCGGTTTTGCAGCTGAAGATGATGGTTCGGTAAACCATCGAAACTAGTCCTGTGAAAATTTTGTAGGTATAACGCTGATTTTTGTTGTTTGACTTCTGAATTAGTATTTATTCGGCGTGTTATTGTGTCTTAATTTAAGCAGTGGTTAGAAAATACTGTCTGATTACAATAAATTTATTGTTGGCTTTCAAATTCTTTCATCGGATGAAGATCTTTGATTGTACAACATATTTTAGATTTAATGACTCTCTTCCTAAGAAAATATTTCAAGGCAATCTAATCTTAACCGTTAGGTAAAAATTTTAAAATTTCATTGCTCGACCTATAGTAACATTTTAGAAGATCAACCGACGTGAAAGAACAAAGAAATTAAAGTGTGGTATCTTCTGGTGTAAATTGAGCCGCATAACATAATTTACTAGTTTTTTTACGTCATATTTGGAAAATTTTCTAATTAATTTGTTTAATTAAAACACGTTGGTAAATCTTTATTGTTCATTAACCATATTTTGAATTTCAGACAGTTGTAAAGCAGTATATCCTAAAGCATTAACTAGAATTAGATATTTGTAAACTGCGAGTATCTAGTTAAAATATTCATAGTTATCACTGCACAAGACTACGGGCTCCAAATTATATTCTTAGCGAATCATACCTTTTCTATTTTGGAAATCTTTCCAGTATAGTATGTATGCTAAAAGGAATTCTAATATGGTACTTTTATGCAAATATATATGTGGATGCACTTAATTATTTTAATTTCTACCGCAGCTCCTTTGGCTGTTCATCTCCGACCTCCACATCAAGTGCTGAACATCGGCCAAGAGGCCACATTCAATTGTAACGTTACCGGATATCCCGTTCATTCAGTCACGTGGAGGAAAGACCAACGTCAGCTGGCTGCTTCTAGTCGAGTGCGACTCCTGTCACGCGATGTACTGCACATCACATCAGTTAGAAGGGAAGACAGAGGAATGTACCAGTGTTTCGTTTATAATGAAGCCGATGCAGCGCAGGGAACGGCAGAACTCAAGATATCAGGTAAACAATAAAACGATCACGAAATATAGTATTTGTCAATGGCATGCAGTTGAAACGTAAAAAGAAAAATCGATGATATTAAAAAGTGAAATTATTGAAATAAAAATGTAAATAGACACACATTTACAGCAAAAATTTAAGTACGGCATTTTGTACTTAAAATCTTTAGTGCTCGCAATTATATAAGTTATTACATTTTCACAACTCTATCAGCCTAGGAAAGAAATAAGTAGTAGTGCAGCACAATTGATTACTGCTTCAAATTTAATTTTTAACGTAAAGAGCGTAATTCAAAATAGAGCGCGAAAGGTTTTCCAAGTTGGTCTCAGAGCATCAAAATTCCGCTGTTTATGAAATATAAACTATTATGAATTTTAATTTTAATTGATGTATTTAATTTCTCCGTATCATATTTATTGAGATAAAATGTATTATAATTCCTAAATTGGGGACATGTTCACGGTATACTCATTTAAAAGCTCACGGTGTTCACAATTACGCTAGGAAAATTCATTCTTCACCATTTATTAAATGCTGGTTGACCCAAACATTAACTAACCAAAAATTAACTTAAAAGTCATATTCTCTGATGCCTATACTTTGATTTACATGGAAACTATTCATGGTTTATTGCAAAATGCGCTTTGTATATAATAGTTATTAAATACGCTATGCATTTCTATCTGTACATATGCTTGATGATTTTAGTTCATCCATGTTTTTCATCCGTGGAAGTTTATGTTGTATATGTTTTAGCGTGTGTGAAAATTTAAGCCCTAAAACACTAAATAACTATGAAAAATAGTAAATTACTTTGACTTTGCAGCAATAAAATTTGGTATACTTTGCTGCGTGGAAAATATCTCGACGTTTCTGCACTTTTATTTTAGAAGCCACAAAAATGGTTGGAGATACTATTAGGTTTATTTAGAATAAGAACGTGCTGGTTTTATATGAAATATAATGTCTTATAATCTCACTTATAATGTCTTATATTCTCGTTCATAGCGTCTTTATTCACTTGGCAGAGTGTCTATTGATTCTTCAAGGAAAGAATTTCACGGGTTTTTAAATTGACTTGAACTCAAATTATTATCCACATATTTATTTAACTACGATACTGGATGAAAAAAATATTTTACTTAGGGCAATCATATTTAATAATGTTTTTATTCAAATGCATGTTAAAAACATGAATTATGCCCTCCGTTGTAATGAATGCATGTTAAAAACATGAATTATGCCCTCCGTTGTAATGAATGCATGTTAAAAACATGAATTATGCCCTTCTTGAACACTAATTGAAATTTTCTTATTAAAAAAGTAAATTGACGTTCTTATTAAAAAAGTAAATACCGTAAAATACATTTAAGAATTAATTTTAAATTAAGACCCTCAGGTATGTTTCTTTAAATTTTCGTGCTTTCATGTAGGCTTTACAAATATTGTAAACAGAACTTTAGTGTACCTTAGGCGTACAGAATTATTAAAACCTGTCAGAAAATAATTAAATTTGTACAGTTGAATTGGGAAAAGTATTTTAATACAACGAGTAGAAGCGTATAATGATTTAGAATGAACCTTATTCCAAACATACGACAAATATACAATGGACGTTCGTTAATTCAAACTCAAAGGTTCCCAGAAAAGAGTTCGAATTAATCGATGTTAAGAGAAACGTTACTTTAAAAGTGTATCACTGAAGAAGAAATGTCTCCTAGTATGTACAACCCCAGAAAATATATTATAATATACTATTTAAACTATGCAGTGGAAAGTAAACTTAAATTAAAAATATAAATTACACTTTTGGGAAAAACTGTAAAATTGATGTTTGGTTTTGTTTATTATGCCTATAATTTTCAGCCAGCTTCTCGATAAGTAAACATTTCAGTTCATTTTCAGAGGAAGGTTAAAGTGAATAAATGCTTTCAGGGTTTTTATAAGAGTTCATTATGACTCGATCTCAATAATTCCTGCATTCTCTTCTGAGTCCGATAAAGTATCTTTTTTTTTTTTTTTTTTTTTTTTTTATCTTCTCGTATAGTTTTTATTATGGCATCTTTGCTCAGGTTTTCACAGACATCTAGGTATTCATCTACCCATACATAATCAGAAAAAGTGACATCGTAACATTAATTTACATTTTTTCAATCAAGAAAAGCTGTATATCAGTATCGTCACATTTATCGATATAATTGTTCTCTTCGGCGTGCATGATATTAGTATGACAAAAGCAGTTACTAACTGTGTTTTCTTTAATAGCATCCGATGCAGCGTACAGATCATTTACAGCTGTCAGCAGAGTAATGGCGTAGTTTCACCGCAATCTAAAGAAACAATGATTTGATCTGAGAATCGTTTATAATAATTTGTTACGGTCCACTGGTTGTAGCTCCGCAGTTGTATTTAGCGGAAAATATTCACTCTGTATGGCAGTCAGTTCTGGAAGGTTATTGTGGCAGGTTGCGTTATCTACACATAAGAGAATTTTACGCTTTTCCCTCGACAATTGCTACCCAAGCATCCCCTTTAAAATGCAATATCCTGTTTGGTAAGAGTTTATAAAAATGCAGTTTCATCCGCTTTAAAAGTATCTTTTGACAGGTAAGTAGAGAAAAGCCCTGGCAGGTCCCTACCGAAATTAGTGTATACATCTTCGTTTACATCAGAGTTGGGGCTACATACAGTTTGATAAGAAATATTATGCTTTAAGTCGAGAAAACCATTCATCACTGCATCTAAAATCTTCATTTTCCTTTCGACTTGCCAATTCATCAGCCTTTGTCTGAAATAGGGTTATATTTATCGGAAATTTCGAGTTCTAGCCTCCTGGAACCATAGCAGTATAGCTTTTACTGGAACTTCTTGGAACACGTTTCTCTTACGTTTCCTTCCTGTAGCAAATTTAGACTTTTCCCGTGAATGAATCTAAAATTGATTCCTTTATTTTTCAAATAAGTTGACATAGTATTTTTTAATTCTATAGTCAGCTGGTAACTTTGTTTTACATTCGCCATTTTCTTCTTTTTTAAAAATTTCTACCTCTGTCTCCAAAGCTAGAGTTTTGTACTTTTCACGTTAAACAGCCTGAAGTTTTACACTTTCACACTGCACACTGAAGAAGAAAAACTAGAGTGCTTTAACTTATCTGCATTGCAGGCATAACTGACGCACATCTCTAGAATATCTGCTAAGGGAGCTTAGTCTGTTAAACAGTGATAATATTAGGACACTGACGTTTAGCTAAAATACAATAGTTTATGTGCCTATTTTTACACAGAAAAGAAACCAGATGACTTTGATACACAAAACTTGTTAAACGTATAAATGAAAATTGTCAAATTTTTAGCTTGAATTAACCGAAGTGATGAAAATTTAGTTCGGATTAATGAGATATTTTTAATATTAATTCCAATACATTTTTTGGTCGAATTTGGATTTGTTCGAATTAACTGAAGTTTCGAATTTACGAGCGTCCACTATATAACATGTTAGTTTTGATTACTATGCATGCAGATTTTAATTCATTTATTTATTGGGGAAAAAAGACTAATATCTACGCTTCGTTTGAAGTGTTTTTTCTTCTCTCGAAGAATAAAAACAATTAATAGAAACTTAAATGCGATCAACACCTCCTAGAGGACATCTGTGATCCGTAAAACTTAAAATTAAAAACTGATTGAAAATTAGTCTTTGCTGTTTATCTGCATTGCTTTTCAATCTTTCGGAACAAACTGAGTTTAGAGTTTACCGTATATTTTCAAAATAAGGATTAATAAAATTTTTCATTTTTGTTAACCTATAAACGTAAGTTCCTTCCTTACAATCTGCAAAGTTAATATCAAAAATACGTTCTAAAGAAACTGCTCACAATTCCAGAACGTTTAGCCATTTTTTGAGGTGGTTGCGGAAATAAATTTCACTCTATCTTTACATTTTCCTGTGCATAGAAAATCTCGAAAAGGGTGAATTTCTCTCATTTACATTAAATATACAATTGAGAAAAATACACAACCACAAAAATAAATTATTGATGATGTACAAATATAACAGTAAAAAAACACATGGAAAATTTGAATAAATTATGAAGAAAGTTGGCGAAATATATGTTTTTAAAGGAAACTCAAAACAGAAAAAAAAAAAAAAAAAAAAAAAAAAACGAAACAAAAGGAAATGTTCACCTATTTGCTCCTAATTTAAAATCCATACCACAAGAGTGAAACAGGGAAAAAGAAATAGAACCGCAGTTCTTTCCCACTGTTTACCTGCTAATTCGGTACTATGTTAAAACTTTCTTATTTTTTCTTCGCATTTCAAAGCCCAACTACCATAAAGATCCAAATGGTCTATTTAATTAAACCAATTCAATTTAATTTTTATCGGGGGAAACGACTTTTATGCATTTTTGCTACAGCACAGTACTCGATTACTAAATGTAGCTGCAAATAATATTATAACTTCTGAGCTCTGTTCTTACAGCTAACGTTCGTGGGCGGGCGTAGTATGATTTTCGAACAATGCAAGCACGCATGAGTTCACTGAATGTTTATCCTTTTATTATCATAATTTGTTGACTAATTTATAATACTATTTCCCTATTCAGTTTGGCGTTAACTTCATTTCTTCCATAATCTTGTTGTGTGTTAATGGATTCTTCTACATCACTCATTTTTGTTTCATTTGTGTAAGAAAACACAATCAAATTTTTAGGCTTAACGTTTCAAAGAAAATATTCTTGTTATTTCATGCATCCTTAATTATTTTTTCAACAATTTGTACCTTTCATTATAAAACCGTAGGAGTGGATTTGTTGATTCACTCGCTATTAATAAATTCATCTTAGCATTTCGTTATTCGAAAATTTATGAAAATTAATTTTGAGAGAAGAGGGTCGAGTTCAGAGGCAGGGATAAGATTTGGATATGTGATGCTGATGGGACAAGTGTATAACTTTACCGTCCATTTAATATATTTTTTGAATAAAATGTTTTTAACAT